CGCCGAAAAACTTGTGGCACCTATCGGAGGATTGTGATATGAACCTCGAAAGGTCGGCGATATGGCCAGTCAGCTTCTGGACCTGGTTTTAGTGGTCAAGTGCTCTGGTATCCCATCGATGGCCTTGATTTGGTCGGGATTGACCTTAATACCCCGCTGCGACATTAGGAAACCCAAGAATTTCCCTGAGGCCATGCCGAATGCATATTTTTCGGGGTTCAGTTTCATGTCGTATTGCCTGAGTATGCCGAAGGCTTCTCTTAAGTGGTCGATGTGATCTTCTTTCCTTCTGGATTTGACCAGCATGTCGTCGATGTCTACCTCCATCATTTTTCCGAGTTATTCTTTGAACATCTTCGTCACCAGCCTTTGGTAAGTTGCCCCTGCATTTTTCAATCCGAAAGGCATGACCCTGTAGCAGTACGTCCCCCGGTGGGGGATGAAGGTGGTCTTTTCATGGTACTCTTCCTCCATAAGGATCTAGTTGTAGCCCGAGTAGGCATCCAAGAAACTTAGCGGAGTTAAACTTTCGTCGAACCTGCTCACCCGGGGGTAGAGTGGATCGACGTTTAATTTGTGTGTGGCAATCTCCTTTAGGATACCTAGCATATTTGCATGGCTAAAAGCAAACAAGTCCGTGTTAGCAGTTAAAAATTTAGGAAACTTACCTGATTCTTGAAGTTTGCAGCCAATGTAAGCTTTCTTGTTGTGGTTGTTGCCGTATAATTGGACGAGGTCGAGGTCCTCTACGGTCGATCTTTCAGCCTCGACCGAGTCAGGGTCTTTGATGACGTCTTCGCTGTTATCACTTACTGACCTCGATCATGTTGATTGCTATGCCTCTCTCTCTATCTCTCAATTGTTGGGTGGCCGTGCAGTCTAGGGTTATGCAGTAGCATTCTTGGGATGTGTGTTGCTCCCAGTGTATGCTGAATATGTCCTATGGAGTTGGGAATTTGATGACTTGGTACAAGCTGGAGGGTATAACTCTCATGGTGTGTATCCATAGTCGCCCTATTATGGCGTTGTATGTTATGTCCTAGTCTATGATGTGGAATGTGGTCTCTAGAGTGACGCCACCTGCCAGGACGGGGAGTGTGATCTCGCCGGATTTTTGTTCAACTGGTTAAAACCTGTTAGTGTGATGCAGCGTGGTACTATCTTATCCTCGAGTTTCATTTATGTGAGTACTCGTGGATGGATAATACACGCGCCGCTCCTATCATCTACCATAATTCATCTCACGTCGGTATCTAAAATTCGTAAAGTAATAATGAGAGGGCCATAGTGAGGGAATGCCAAATCATTGGTATCTGACTTATCGAAGATGATACTTTCTTCGAGTTCATCATACCGTTCGTGGTTGATCGACCATTTGAGCTTGTGGGTTGTGGTGAACTTCACGTTGTTGATGGAAGTGCCATCCCCGCCACCGATGATCATGTGGATGGTACGGGCTAGCGAGGGCGGCTTCGGTGGCCCTTGATGTTGTTTGCGTCCCCTAGCAAAGTTGGTCCTTCCCCGATCGCTCAGCAATTCTCTGAGGTGTCTCTGTCGCAGCATGTTTACGACCTCCTGTCTTAGGGTGATGCAATCTTTGGTTTTGTGTCCTCGCTCTTGGTGAAACTCATAGAGGGCATCTGATTTTTTGGTATTCGGGTCCGACCTCATCTTTTGTGGACACTTTACTGTTGGTCCGAGCTTCTCCAAGGCATAGACGATCTCTGTAGGTGGCACGCAAAAATTATGAGCGGATAGTAAAAGGGGCATACCTCTCTCATTCTGGTGAGTCCTTGTTCTTGATTGAGGTGGGCCTTCTATATGGCGAGATGAGGATACAACGGTAGTTCTGACATATGGGAGATGTCATTCCCGGTTTGGCCGTGAGGCCGCTGGATCTCTTCTGATATCACTTCTCTGATCTTTTCTGGATTTCGCTTGTACTGAGATCAGTTGATGAATCAGCCCATTGAGGTCGTCTTCGTCTGCTCAGACTTCGGAACAGTACGCATTATGTATTTCATCCCGAGTCGTTGGGGGATATTTCATAAGCCGGCTTAATAATTTTCTTGTCGCCCTTGAACCATTTTTGTTCAGCCTATTTTCAAAAGCAGCTACCACCATTCCTTCTGATACATTAGTTAAGGTCATTATTACTCGGTTGAAATGGGCGAGGAAGTCCCTCAGTCCTTCTCCCGGGGATTGTTTGATAGCAAAGATGTCATTCACTCTTGCCTCGGCCTTCTTGGCCCCGGCATGGGCCGTCACAAACTTATCAGCCATTTCCTCAAAGGTTTTGATGGAACGTGCTGGCAGTTGCGAGTACCAGGTTAATGTACCTCCCGTGAGGGTTTCGCCAAATTATTTTAGCAGAATGGAGGATACTTGTTCTTTGGCGAGGTCATTTCCTTTCACGACGGTGACGTAATGGGTCACATGATCCTCGGGATCAGTTGTGCCATCGTATATTTTCAGATAAAGAGGCATTTTAAAGGTCTTTGGTATGGCATGTGGGGCAGCGCTATCACTGTACGACTGCTCGATGAACCAACCGGCTTTTCTCTTCGGCAATAACTTAGGAGCGCCCTGTATTTTATCGACCCTTTCTTGGTGCTCTCTCATTTGATCTCGAAGTGTCTTGTTCTCATTTTCCATTTCCTCCATCCTTTTCAGAATGGTTGTGAGAGTGTCGTCGCCTGCATTGTTAACAACATTATGAGTAATACATGTCGTAGTGGGTAGAGGAGGAGGATGATCATGTTGCTCGTCCATTGGTGATACAGCACAGGTTCTCGCCTTTGCTGCGGCCGCGTCCTAAACGAGCTTATGGAGGACGTTGGTCAGTGTATCAGTTAGCCAAGCCTCAAGGATCTTCTTTATCGATGATGGTGCTCCCACGGATATGGAAGATGTCTTACCAAGGGATTTTGTGATGCTGCAGTGGGGATGGGGTGATCCATCTTGCCTGGAGAGGCATTGGGCGTTGTGTCCTCGTCCACTGCTTCAGAGCATTCGTGGATGATGTCCATAAGGTTGGTTGGGAGGTCACTCATTATTCTCGTTCTTTTTTAATCTGTTACCTGCCATGTTAGATCTACGCATGTAGAGAGAAGAAGGTTCTTTTTTTTTATCAGTAACCAGTGCCAGTTGTAGATCTAGAAGAAACTAAAAGACTTAGCTAGAAAATCCCTGACGGCGCCAAATTGTTTGACCAAAAAGTATAATTTTTGGTTAAACTATTTAATTTATATAATACAGGGTTAAATCTAGTTAAGATAATAACTCTAGATACTAATCTCTAAAACATGCAGTAGGTGGGGACAAATCCCATAAATAGTTGATGGCAACAAGTGCAAAATATTCTTAAAGCATGAACATTGATGGAGATATAACTAACAGTAAATGGAAATAAATGACATTTAAGTAAATAAGGAGAATAATTCACCCAATAATTGATGGGTTGAATGAATATTTCTCATGATAATATGAGTGACCGATAGGTCCAAGATTCGTATGAACAATTCTAGGATCTGGTGGAAAGGTGGGAAATAATATGAACAAGAATCTTTATCAAAAGGTAGTCTTTGTATTCTTAGAAGAGAGAGAGAAAATCTTTTTCTCAAAAGTTTTCTTATCAAAATGAATATTACATGCCCCTATCATTGTCTCTTCTTTCTATATATATGAGGTCTTTTCCTAGGAAATCCTAATAGTACAAATGAAGGGAATATCCACTAGAATATTTTCTCTTAATATCCTATCCTAACAAATTAGCCGTTACAAGTCTTATCATCAATAGCCAATCTCGGCCTCGACCCTTGTTGACATTTCGACTACGACTCATGTCGACATCTCGATTATGGCTCATGTCGGCACCTCGACCAATGACTTTGTTGCATCTTGGGCGAGCTCGACCGACTCCTTCCTTAATGCCATATTTACGCTAAATTTTCTAGGGACGGATTTTGACCTATACAGTATCAACTCAAGGTTTGTTTGGTTGAAAAATAGGATATGCAGGGATTGATAAAGCATGAATATTTGTAATATAGGGATTAATAATTTAAGAAATATAATGTGGAAATCACTAATGCAATGATTATAAAGTATTCACTCCGTCCCAAAAAAAAATAATACAGTTCGAATTTCGAAAGTCAAACGAGTTGTTCTTTAACAATAACTTTTTTCTTTAATACAAGATGTATACAATGTGTTTTTTAGCGTTTCACTACATTAATCTCTCCGATAAATGCTCATACTATTAATGTTGAGGCTAATTAGAAAAAAAAATATTAATCCTTTCTTAGGTTTTTAAAACAACAATTATTTTGAAACAAATATTTTTGATAAACATGTCCCAAGTAAATATGATCGAAGAGTGTATTACATTCTTCTCTTTCTTGGTAATGACGAAATCATCCACTTCAATGGTGAGCGTGAAAATACAAATAGCAGCCATTTTACAGCCAACCATGAACCACGCAGCATTCTTTCACTTCCTCTCGTTTAGCACGCCAATTATATACACATAGGCGCACACTCTTAACATATCATTGATTTTTTCACCAATAACTTTTCGAATATATTTTTAAATACAAAAAATTGTAAGATACCTAACAGCATATAAATTTATCATCCTTTAATTTAACAGGAAAATGGTCAAAGTGGTTTTGAAGGAATGAAATGATACATTGGGATAAAGCAGAAAATATGCAATAGTCAAATTATGAACGAAAAACTCGCGTATGACGTATCAAAATTTATGCTTGTTCATTTTACTATAGCAAATTATGGATTTATTATTTATTGAACCCTCTTTTTAGTTCTCTATTGTGTTATGTGAATGATACTTAATTATTGATATCACCTTTTTAATGTTTTTGGATAATAGGATAATTATATTAATACTAGCATAGTATTACATATTTTTGTTGTGAGTAACTACACTCAAATTACCAAGTTATTACAAACNACCAAAAAAAATGAAGAAATAAAAAGGAAATGGACGAGAAGAAAGGAAACAAAAAGGCAAAACAAGCGGGAAGTAGGCAGTGCGTGCGAAGTGGGAACTAGTCTTTCGCCTTTTTATACAACCGCACCATGCGCTCGCCACAATTCATGGCTTACTCCAATTCCTCGACAACTTATAAGCATTGGGAGCCCCCCAACTAACAAAAACTTTTTTAAAAATTTTAGGAATCGAAAATCATCTTCTAGAAGTAGGAGTATCCAAATCGTTTTCATCCCCAATTTTAGGTTTCTTCCATCAGTTCGTAAAAATGGTGCGTAATTGTTTTCTTATTATGTGTTCCAGCTAATTGTAGTCTGCTAATTTTGTCATTTGCTTGGCAGAACAAGCTGGGGTTTGCGCGCAAGGAGAAAGTTCAGCAATTCATGTCCGTAACTGGGGCAAGGTAGGTACCTTAGTCATGTAACACTAAATCTTACTGAATTTACATTTGTTCTCATTTTACATTGTCAGTCTTTTGTATGCTTCTCTTTGTGTATAAAATTTGAGGATATCAAGATGCTTAGTGGGCGTTTGGACATAAGAATTGTGAAATTCCGGATTTTTTTTTTCAAAGCGAAAATGATATTTGAAAATTAGAGTTGTGTTCGGACATGAATATAATTTGGAGCTGTTTTTGAATTTTTGTGAGTGACTTGAAGTGAAAATTTTGGAAAATAACTTTTTGAAGTTTTTCAAAATTTCGAAAAATTTCAAAATTCAACTTCAAATGAAATTTGAAAATTTCATGGACAAACACTTATTTCCAAAAAGAGGAAAAAAAGTTCGAAAAAGTGATTTTTTATGGCCTAACGAGCCCTAAAATCACGAACTTCTAAATTTCTCATAGACGTCATTTAGTAATGTGAACTCTCTTCGTTCCATTTTACGTGACATTATTTCCTTATTAGTTTGTTCCAAAAAAGAATGACATCTTTTCATATTTGAAAATTAATTATTGTTTACCCTTAATGGCATATTTTTATACCCATAGACATCTTATAACATATTTAAGACCACAATTCCAAAAGTCTTTCTTTCTTAAACTTCGTGTCCCGTCAAACTACCTCATGTAAATTGAAACGGGGGAGTAAATCTTAGATAAACTCCTTTAAGAACAAAAAGGAGTACCTTATGTTGAATAAGACCTCATCCAAACAAAAAATATGGTAATTGTGTTTCGTGTTATGCCCCCAAAAGAAGTCATTAGAGTTCTGGGGATTGTTCATATCTTTGATTACCAAATCCTTATATCAAGTTCTGAGTTATTAGTTTCTGGAAGTTCAATACAATTAGGTATTCTTTGTTTCTCATTTTCTGCGAACATTATCACAATGGTGTAGATATTTGGAGCTGTAAGGTCTAGGTGTAGGTTTCCATTTAGTTTATTTGTGTTTGGGTGGTCGTTTTCAATTTCTGGTGGACTGAAAGTTAAATTTGCTCATATAAGCATGTTTTGTTACTTTTTGGGTAAATTTGCTCATGCAACCATGTTTTGTAACTTTTTGGCTATGCCCGAGGCGTTTTTTTTCATCTTCCTGCGAGGGGGCTATGCTCATAAAGAATTCTGGTATACTAGTAGACAATGTAATGAGTTAACTGAAGATATTGCGTTTGGACTTCAGGAAATATCGCGTGAGACTTTCTTGCTACTTCCTTGGGCGAATGCTAACCCAATTTCTTGATGTGTAGGCATTAATTTCATAATTTAGTTACATAATGAGAGTCATTTTGTTTTTTAGAGTTATCATAATTGGTTGTGGAGTGAGGTTGTTTTGGAGAAATGTGTTACTTGACTGTATAAGTTTTAGTGTTTGTTGATAGTTTATACTCCCTGTGCCTCATTTATGGGACACAATTTGAAATAGTATGAAGTTAATAAGTTAATTAACTATGTATGTACCTTATCAAAAAAAAGTTAACTATGTATGTTTCTTTAATGTCTCAATACCATATATTGTGATGAGATATTTGTGCAGCAGGAAAGTAACTGAAAAATGTTTTGGTTAGTTATGAGGAGTTTGCATAAAAGAATATGGATTCCATGATTCCTTTCCTAACTCTCATCCACCTATTGATGACCTCTTTCTCGGTGAAGATAGTGGATGGTTTTTATTTACACAGTAACCGAGTAATATGGCAATGTAAAGTATAATCCGATATACTTAACACCATAATTCCAAAAATGTTGGAGAGAAAAACTTATTTTGTAGCCAGAGAAAGGTCGGTTGAACTAATCAAGCTACACGATATAATTCCTCTGCTTTTGATACAAAATTATTGAGGGAACAAGAAGCTTTTTAGTAGAACAGGATTAACCACAGCAAAACAGCAGATGCAATGTAGTGGACATATTCAATCGCCTTGCTGTGGTACAAACTACTAAGGGAAGAAGACAATAAATGATCATCATTCTGGAAATTAACCACCATATGGGATAGACATGCACTGCTAACAAGATACCATTATTTACGGAGAAAAGAATTTATCAGTCAAAGGAATCCAACTCGGCAATATAGGAGTTATAGCTTTGTCAGGTAGCATCCTCTAGCCTTTAAATATTGGCTGGAGGAAGCTGCAGCAATCACTTGTCATATAGATAATAATGACACCAATTTGTGGTGGATGAAAGGGCATTAAAATTCCAGAGGTTCTAGGGTTAATGTTAGATGGACAAGGAATGGGATGTTACAACCAGTGTAGTGCTACAAAGATAAATCTAAGTAACTGGGGAATTGCAAGTAGGGGAAGTTATAAAGATGAATGGAACTGAGTTTAGATCGAGTTCCCATTCAGAGTAGAAGCAATTATGATCGGCTGATGGGTCTTGAAAGGACAGAAACTCTTGCTGGATTTCTGATTGCCGATAGCCTCTTGCCACTGGAATAAGTTAAACCTAGCCATGTATGGATCAAACTCTCGATCTTCCCACAGAATCTATGCTCAGACGCGGAGGCTTGTGATATGGGCAAGCACTCTATTGGACTGAGCCGATTGCATCTATGGTGGATTAGATTATGTGCGGAGCCGTCGGCACGTGGAGCAGATCTCGCTGGAAAATTCCTCCTTTGTCCGGCGCGTGGGAGGGAGTTTTCCGGTGGGATTGACTGTGGTTTGGTCGCCTGAGCCTGAGGAGTCTTGTGGTGGTGGAGGTTTTTGCACAAGACCGACGGAAAGCCGTACAACCTCTTAAGTCGTCGGAAAATTGCACGTCGACAAGGTCTTTCTTTCCGGAAGTTGTTGGAATGATGCACAACGATAATTTTCTCACTAAAGCTCTGATACCAGTGAGAAGTAAAGGCACCGGAGAAAGATGTTATTGATATCCATTTATTACAATACAAGGAGCCTATTTATATCTACACTCTACAAATATATACTACTCCTATTCCAATGTGGGACTAAGCATATATACATAAATTATCTAACAGTTTTGAAGTGTATGATTATTGGATAAATTGAAGTGGTAATATATAGTGTTGAAGCAAGGGTGGGATGGGAAGGATTGTCGGTGGGTGGGTGAGAAGAAAGGTTGGGTTGGCGCAATAGAGGGAAGTGGCAATGGATGTGGACTTCGGTTCATGGCTTAGGTGGATGAGTGAGGAACAAAAAATTTGTGGCAATTCTTATTTAATATATAGCGATTAGGATGGCTTAAACGCCAAATGGCTCAGGTGTAGAGGAACGACATTGCATTAAGGTGAATTTCACTGTCCGATGGCCAGTTGGCCACTCATACAACTATCTCTATTCAGCTGGCAAAGTAGAGGCTCCCCCTACTCAAATCCTTCACAAAAGAATAAAAAGAGAAAAATTCCATAGTAGTGTAGTTATCTTGGCAAAATTGGGAACATAATTGAGGTTATTGTTTAGGAGCAAGAGAGTGTAAGGTATTGAGAAACTTAAAGTGAGGATTCGTTGCACTTATGTTAGTGTTACCGGTATGAGATATTGAAATGGTGTTACCATCACCTGCTGCAATTTCTTCTGGACTTGGAGCGCTGATAGTGGCAAGTTCATTGAGAGATCGAACTTGGTGGAGGTAAATACAACGGGAAGGGTCTCTTTGGGAAGACGAGCCAAATGATCACGCAAACTAAAGATTCTTGCTTGAGATTTGGTTGCGTATGCACTATGCAGAGCATCCCGGTAGCCTTAGCTGACTGCAATGGTGATAGTATCAGCAAGTGTTGGATTAACTGAGGTCAAGATAGCGTTTTGCATTAGCTTTTTTTGGCGATACCATGCAACGAATTTAGGATTTTCGACGTCTCGATTGTTTTGAGACACTGATGAGTAGGGGCAGGGTGAGAACCATTGAGATGGCCTAATAGGTTGTGACCACGCATAAGCATAACACATGAGCTTTCCGAAGGGATAAGATGTGGCTGCCAGCTAATTTGATGGGTAACTGGATTACAAAATTAGATTGAACAACAGTTGTATCGGTTTTGGTATCGAAATTGAGGACAAAGACGTTTGAGGCCATTTAATAGGAAGGGTCGGACAGCTATTAGAAAAAAAAAGTTGAACTCATGAGAATTAATTTTCTCTTGATACCATATGAAATATATGACTCGCGATAGAATGAAAAGAGAGTTTTTTTATTGAATGTATGCTGAGAATATAGAGTTTAGACAACCTTTACAACAACTTAATGGTTAAGAACTATCCAAACAGACCCTAAATAGGAGGAGAAAGTTACAACAAACTTAACGACTAGGAACATAAATTTAAAACTCTAAATCATAGGAATAAGATAATAAATAATATAATCATTTGTTATTTCTATGCAAATTTGATGCTACCTTTTCAGTTATTGGGAAGTTCATTTACCGCATAAATTTGTCATAAAAATATATTAGGGTAAAAGTAATATTAAAATAATGCCACTTGCCTCTCTAAAATTATAAGCATTAATTACAATTTTATGGTCTTCAATATAGAGTCGGATATTGAATTTTAGCAACTTTTAGCGCATCTTAAAGAGGGTAAGGCGAAAGGAGCATCTATTTATCAGGTATTTTCTTGTATACTATTATTTCTGTGACATGTTGAAGTATCACTGTCATTCATAATTCTTGGTTATTAAACATAAGTTTAGGTTGTTATTTGCTGGTTTTTTATTACGGTGGAACCATGACATTTATTATTTCATATGGTGAATCATGGTGAGAAAGCACGGGAGAAAATATGTTATTGATATTAGATGAACAATACAATACAAGAGGTCC